CCCCAAAACCCCAAAACCCCAAAACCCCAAAACCCCTTATCTTAAATGTAATATTGAATTTGAATTACCTATGCGTCCAAGTTTTCCTCACTTATCTTTGTCAGAACATGGATATATTGCAGAAGGGGCTCTGGTTGAAGAGCTTGGGGATTTTCTTCCTCTCTGTCACTAGGGACCACATCTAATTCTGAGTCTCTTTCTGAGTCAAGCCAGGAGCTCTTTTTGGATTTCTTCGCACAACTACTGCTTTGAGATACATCGTTTGCTACAAATAAACCAAGACATTTACATTGCTCTGCTACTTTGGTGCACTTATTCTCAGGTGAGGCCGAGGATTGGTTATATAAAGCTTCTGTAACTTCTTCCTTAGAAATCAGCTGTTGTTTATCGTCCTTCGCATTGACTAAATCGTGCAGGGAGGGCTCACGAATCTGGTAGGTAACTGTTGCCTTCTCACTTACAGTTGCTTCAACCTCTTCATGAGCAGACTCAATAACTACTTCTTGTTGATCAAAGTCCAGAATGGATTCATGCGAAATTTCTTCTGAGTCGATCTCAGTCAATCGATTTTTGATTACTTCAACTGCTTGGGAATTAAGTCTCTCTCTGTTCTCAGCCTGATCAACATTGTTCAAATAGTCCTTGTTCGGTGCTGAGAGATATCGAATTTTCTCTTCTAAAAATGAGTGAATCTAGGAGATTACCTTTAGCATCGCCTTCCTTCTTGAGCCCTTTATTGGCCATCTTCAGCTGTACAACTTGCTCTTGCAATTTCATCAATTCTTGCTGCATATTTCTGATCCTGGTACTGTCAGTATTGGAAGTTTTAGCCAGTAGTAGGTTCCTCATCTGTGGCTCACTGCCAGCCGAGCGAGTGAGCTCCTCCATACTCTGGGTCTGACAGAAGTTTTCACATGTCTCTACAGATTCGGTCTGAGTCACCTTTCCCTCTGTGTTGAGAGGAGGGTCGACTCTTGAGTCTCTCTGAGTAACGAGCTCTTTCTGAAGGGTCTCTACTTGATCTATACAAAATTATGGAAAAGAGTTACCTCTCAGAGCAGCTGAAATATCTTTCTCTTTCTGTAGCAGATTTTCGTATTCTTCTCTCATGCCGACCATGGCTGCCAAAGCTTTCTAAGGAGTTAGGAGGAAATGTACCTCATAGTAATTCTCTGCTGTTTCCAGGTCCACTGCTGACTTGGTAATTCATGATTTAGTTATTTCTAATCAAGATCAGTCATACGAAAATTTTTGGAAGATCAAGGAGCAGTCAATATTTTAGAGCAAAAAAATGTTTAACTCACCAGAATGAAGAGCTTTCTTTCTCTTTTCATGAGTTATCTCATTCTCGTAGTCAGACATGGCCTTTTTAGCTGGCTTGGCATGCTCTTGCACACTCTGAGAGACTTTATCAACTCTTGGTCGAGCAGCTACAAAACTTATTAACCAAAATTTCCAAAAATCTACCTGAAAAATCAATGTGAACAACTTCCGGCTTGACATTCCTTGCAGTCTGAAATCCAAGCTTAGACTCACGATTCTCGGCGAAAAATACTCCTGGAGAAGATGCTTTGGTGTTGTTGTATTCTGACAGCCCAAACTTACTTTCTTCGTTAAGCTTGAAATGCTCTGTTCGGGACAAGGTCGATCCAAGATAGGTAGATCTTCGTAAGTGTTGCTCCTGTATCTTCTTCAGGCTACTTCGGACATTACTCAGCCTCTCTTTCCTGTAGTCATCAGAGATATCCTCCTTTTTCTCAAAAATTGTCTTATTGTTCAGATAATCATACTTCGTGGCCTCTTTCAGTTTTCCCTGGGAAGGACTAAGAGCCAGGTCTTTCTGGCTAGTATGCCCAGAGATGTTACATTGAGGTAGACTGGAGCCCTTCCCTAACATGTTCATTTCAAAAGGGGTCTTTTCCTCGACATCACCCATGACCTCTTCGCTCTCTGAGGCAGGTTCCTTGACAATGTTAATAAACTGTGCTAGGCGTCGCACACTTTCATTTGGGTCCTTCTTTGGCGAATTCTTAGCCTTCTTTTCCTTATGGGCCTTGTTCTTCTTATAATTCCTTGGCTTCTTAGCATAGCATTTGATCTTCTCCTTCTTTGCTTTGGCAAGAACGGAGGTTGCGGTATAATCTAAAGAGGTAGTAATGAACCTAAATCTTACCAGGACTCTTGGTCTCCTTCCTTCTGCGCTGTATCTCCTCATATGAAACACCAAGGCCATAATTTTTAGATGATTTATTGAAATTCGAGCTATGGTAGTTCTTCAGAGGAGTATTTCGGGATTTCATCCCCATTGAACTGGTAGTTTTCATTAATTCCTCATCGCTCTTATCTGACCTGCTAGATTTTGTATACTTATGAAGCAAATTCCTAGTCCGGGTCCTGACTTTCCCATGAGGCTTATAAACTGCAGTGGAAATGATCTTTTTCTCTTTAAATTTACGATCAGAAAGTTTCTCTTCGGGCTGGTATTCAAAGGCTGAATCTAAAATATCATGCTTCCAAATACCTAATTGCTTCTGGTCACCGCTAAAACTGCATTTACTTTTCAGATATTTGATCTTGTCATAAGAGGACAGCTGATTTTTAATATTTTCCTTAACAAAGTTCCTCCTCTCACTTGTCAGATGCTTCTTATGGACAGATAACTTCTATAGGTCAGGTTAGTAAGCGCAGATTTTGAGGGAATTTCCAAACCAAGGGCTCTTGAGAAACTCGAATTTGGCCCACGAAGTCAGTGAATTGCTCCAATGGATCTTCCGATCTCTGAGTGAGAGGAAACTAGGAGTTTAAGCAGTCCAAATCTGTTCCAGAAGTTACCATGTTCTTATCATAACTGTGTTTTATTTGCTCTTTGTCAACCTTATTTATTATAAGCTGATTTTTTATCTGGAGTAAAGCAATCACTCCTTAAATAGTTCTTGAATTCGATCTGATTGGATGCTATACCATTGTTAATAAGTGTCTAATAAGAGTCAGACAGGGCTGACAGCTTACTTGACATCTTTAAATAATTTTATCTTACCAATATTTTACATCCTAATAGGGGTTTTGGGGTTTTGGGGTTTTGGGGTTTTGGGGTTTTGGGGTTTTGGGG